TGGGATTAATCTGGGTCTCAAATTCCTGTAGTATTGTTTTTATGAAGGTGGGTGCATCAGAGTTTGGTGAATATATGTTCATGATTGTAATATCTTCTTGATTTATTGTTCCTTTGATCAGAATGAAGTGGCCCCCTTTATCTCTTCTGATTATTTTCAGTTTAAAGTCTATTTTGTCAGATATTAGAATTGCAACGCCTGCTTTTTTCTTAGTACCACTTGCTTGGTATATTTTTTTTCCCATCCTTTCAATTTAAGATAGTGTCTGTCCTTGAAAGTGAGATGAGTTTCTTGCAGACAAAAAGATGAGTTTTGTTTCTTAATCCATTCACCTAATCTGTGTAGTCTTTTTAAGACAGGGTCTCCCTGTAGCCCCAGCTGACCTGGAACTCACTATGTAGACCAGGCTGGCCTTGAACTCACAGAGATCCACCTGCCTCTGCCTCACAAGTGCTGGGATTAAAAGTGTGCGACACCACGCCCGGAACCGGGTTTTGTTTCTTAATCCATTCACCTAGTCTGTGTCTTTTGACTGGGAAGTTCAGTCCCTTAATATTTAAAGTTATTAATTAAAGATGAGTTATGAATCCTGTTATTTTTATTTCTGTTTTCATTCTTGATATAGCTGTACTTTTCCACAGTTATACCTTGGGTATAGTCATTCCTTTCTTTAGCTCTTTGTATTGCTTCCAGAACTCTCTGAAGGGCTGGTTTTGTGGATATGAAATCCTTCAGCCTATTTACGTCATGGAATATTTTTCTTTCCCCTTTGACTATAATAGACATTTTGGCTGAGTATAGTAATCTGGGTTGGCATCTGTGGTCATTTAAAACTGGGAATGCTTTGGCCCAGGCTCTTCTGGCTTTCATAGTTTGCACTGAAATATCAGATGTAATCCTAATGGGTTTTCCTTTATATGTGACTTGTTGTTTCTCTTTTGCAGCTTTCGGTATTGTCTCTTTGTTTTGTTCGTTTAGTGTTTTTACTATTGATATGCTGTGGAGAGTTTCTTTTCTGGTCCTGTCTGTCTGGTGTTCTATATGCTACTTGTATTTGTATGGGCATGTCTTTCTTTAATTTTGGGGAATTTTCTTCCATGATTCTGTTGAAGATCTAGTCCATGCCATTATCTTGGGATTCTTCTTCCTGTATGCCTATGATTTGTAAGTTTGGTCTTTTTAAGGTGTCACAAAACTCCTGCATATTTCATTTTTGTGATTTCTTGAATTTTTCATATGATTTGCTTGAGTGGTCTAGTTCATCCATTTATCTTCCAGTCTTCATACTCTGTTTTCTATTTCATTCATCGTATTGGTGAGGCTCTCTCCTATTGTTTCTAACTGGCTTACTGTTTCACTTCCTTCTGCATTTCAGCCTGAGTATTCTTCAATATTTCTAACTCTAACTTCTAACTCTTTTCTGAATTCATTCAGAAGTTTATCCCTATCTTCCTTCAGTTCTTTGATTTCTTTGTGTGTTCTTTAAATTCGCTGAATTCTTTTATCATGTTTATAATTGTTCTTTTGAGTTCCATGTCCTGCATTATCTCTAGGGTGTTTTCACTGTACTCCTCTAGAGGACTATTGTTGTTTGATGTGGATATGTTGTTTTGGTTTTTCATGTTATTATTTTTTCTCTGTGATTTTGACATGTGAATTTCTTTTGTAGTTTCTGATTCTCGTGTGAGACTCAGGCCTTCAAGTTTAGGTCTGCTCCTTTTTGTGAACTTTAAGTGTCTTTGTGGTTTACTTTTGGGGCATGAAAAGCTGGTTCATGTAAGCTTCCGGTTATGTCTTTTGATTTTATATTGGAGCGGCCAGATTGCTTTTGTCTTCGGGAGTTCCCACAGAGGCCCAAGTCAGATGAGGATCAGATACTCTCAGGCTTTCTCCTAAGGTCTGGATCCCTCCAGGATAGATTTTGGTCTCAGGAATTTGGGGGTTGGACTGGCCTGGGAGCTGGGCCCAGGGAAGATGTTGGCCTAGGGCAGGTGGTGGCCATGCCACCCAGAGAGGCAAAGAGGACGGGGGCCGGAAGTGGCCCCAAGGGCTCTTGTGTACTGCACTGAGATGCTGGGTTGGTCTGGATGCAAAGGATCAGGAAGAGGAAAGGTCAGCCGCAGTGTTCAGGGAAGAGGCTGGTGGGTAGTGCAGGGCCAGGGAAGTAGAGGGAGGTGTGGGCGGGGGCAGGCCCAGAGAGCTCATGGGGACCGGTGAAGGAACTGGGTTGGTCTGGATCCAAAGGATCAGGAAGCAGTGGTGGTTCCCCTCATGTCTGGGGGCCCCAAGACAAGGAATGGGCCAGGACTCAGGCTAGGAGGAAACATGGGCAGGGGAGATGGGAGGGTGAATGAGGCTGGGGAGTCAAGGCGAGGAGGGCATGATCGACTTATCCTGGAGAGAGGCCTGTGGGTCGTGCAGCCCTAGGGAAGCAGAGAGAGGTGAGCTATTCTTAGGAAATTTAATGCTAAAATGCATTCGAGTCCGTGTAACAACATCTTGGAACAAACAGAAACTGAAGTGCTTCAAACCATTTGTGAAGAAATGAGCTGCGTTTCTGGGGTTACTGCTGTATTAACCAACTTTTCTTTGCATATATAAATAGATATTTTAGAATGTACATTACTTTAGATACTTAGGTTATTATTACAGGGTTGTCCCAAAAGTATTTTCTAAACCTAAAATAAAACCTACCAACTTCTATGCTCTAAGGTAAATTTTATAAAAGATACAATCTACTGGAATTTTATTCTGGCATTCAGGCAAATAGCACTAATAGATACACATAATATCCGCCACCAAGAACTTTAAGAAATAATCTATTGAACTATATTGCCCATATAAAATTGAGAAAATTGCATCTAACATTTTCCCCCTTTTCAATTTATGCAATATCAATTGAGCATTTCAATACCAGTGAATAAGAATGCAAATCACTAAAACATTTCAAAATAAGACATGCTTAGATGTGTTTAATAAACAAACAAACAAGGGGTAGAGTGATGGCTCCGTGATTAAGAACACTGGCTGTTCTTGCAGAGGACCTGGGTTCAATTCTGAGCACCCACTCACATGGCAGCTGTCTGCAACTCCAGTTCCAGGGGATCCAATGCCCTCTTATGGCCTCCACAAGCATTGCATGCATGCAGTGAACAGGCAAAACACTCAATACACATAAAATAAAAATTAAACAAACAGGCACAGAATTTTCTGAAATAAAAACACTTTATTTAAACAAAAATTATATTTATAGAAAAGCTACTACAATAAATGTATACCAAAACATAGGCTAGCTGAGGTGCAGTGGCCCTCAGTAGTTTTTAGAAAGTGACTCTCCACTAGAGCATCTGTCTATTAGAATCCCACAGACCCAGGAAGCTCTCAGGGGCAGAGAGCTACACCTTGCTGTCTCAAAGCACCTCACTTTCCTGTAAAGAAATGTGAAGACAGTAACTGCTCCCTTGAGCAGGTAAGCAGGGATCATCTGTCCTGGCGTGAACCACTCAGCTTTGCCTCCTCCCTGTCTTCTTCCTTAGATTACCAGAAGAAGAAATACAAGCAAGCACTGAATAAGCAAGAAGGAAAACTAGGCACTTGGATATCATGAACATGAGTCTTACAGAATTAATTTTTACACTAAACAGTTATCCTTTTAATAGATTTATTTGATTTAATTTATGTGTATGAGTGTTTTGCCTACATGTATGTAAGTGTACCTGTGTCATAAAGTGCTGCAGAGGTGAAGAAGAGGGCATTGGATCCTCTAGAACTAGAGTTAGGGACAGTTGTTAGCCACCATGTGGGTGCTGGATAAGAGGCAGTGCTCTTAACCACTGAGCCATCTCTCCAGCCCCAGCTAAATAATTCTTAAAAGGAAATAATTTTAACTACATAATGCAAGTTGAAGAAATCTTTTTCTGTTCATTTGTTCAATAACATCACTTCAAGGAGAGAATTTCTATAGCAGCTATAATTTCGGGCAGCTATAATTAACAGAATATATAACTGCCTAAAAATTCAAAAGTGGGTAACTAATGATGGGTGGTTTTTACTAACCCCTAATAACATGGAATGAACCTGAAGAAGAAATCATTCAGTAACTGTCCCCACAAACCCACCTCAAGTGATGTGCTCCAAAGCAAGGAGAAGTTAATAACGGAGCCTGGTAGCTACTACTGCTGACTACAGATCAAGGTCCAACTCTCTTTCAGCCTAAGCCCCTGACTAAGAGGATGTCTACTTTTTAAAAATCAAATTTAGTAAAGAACTATCAACTATTTCAATGAATGACAGGCATTGTAGCAGCCTAATAATAGGCTATGAGGTATTCGTTTATAGAAGGCTAGCGCCTTTGAAGGTGTTGAGGGGGGCATTGTTTCATCTACATTTATCTTGAGATAATAACTGAAGTAATTTGTGTTTAGTTAGGAAAGAAGAATTTCCCCGATCTAGAGGGAGGTGGGCCACCTGGTATTTTACTATCTGTATTTAGGAAAACAAAACAAAACAAAAGGCCTGGAGGAAGGCTGGCTACCTTTCCAGCAGGGTAGCTAAAGAGGGAGTAGGAAGAGCAACAGGACAGACACCTCACTGTCCAACAGCAAGAGGTGAAGAAAAACAGACACAGAGTAACAATAAAAACACAAAATTGGCCAGGCGTGGTGGTGCACACCTTTAGTCCCAGCACTTGGGAAGGAGAGGCAAGGCGGATCTTTGAGTTCAAGGCCAGCCTGGTCTACATAGTGAGTTCAGATCAGCTGGGACTACAGGGAGACCCTGTCTCAAAAAGACAAAAACAAACAAAAAACCCCCACAAAATTGGGAGATGATTTCTATTGACTTTTTGAAGTCACTTAAAAAGGAAAAAAAAGCTACTCACTCTGTCAGTAGAGGGCTCATAATCTAAGTGAATTAAAAAAAAAAAAAATCTACTACACTGCACCATCAATGTAAAAGTCTAGCAACTATATTAACTTGAGTAAGTCAAATTCTTCACTTACCATTTGTTAGTCTATCAAATAGAAAGATATCAAAATTCCAGTTTCCAACTTTTTCCAGCATACACTGAAACAAAAACCAAACATTCCTACTGTAATTTAATTTCAGTAACATTCTATCTTTTAGCTAGTCCATAGAGCAGCTAATGAAAATAAAAAATGACTGATTTGCTTTAAGAAATACCAAGAATCATTTGCTTTCATTCGTTTTACTTTATTTTCTATTTTTTGAGGCATGGTCTCACTGTGCAGCCCAGGCTGGTCTGCAACTCACAACAATCTTCCTGTGCCTTAGTCTCCCGAGTGCTGGGATTCCAGTCATGTGCCACCACATCTGGTTGTCATTCTCCTTTTAATTATGAATTTTCCAACTGGCTCTAAAAATTGTCTAAAGAAATAAACTCCATTTGAAAAATGCAATTACTATTTTGTATTTCAATTAATGAATTTACAGGACAAGTCAATCTTTCAACTTATTTCTACTGTCCCACAAACTTAAAAGAATTCTGAAATAATTCTGTGTCGCATAAGTGTTGCTTGTATATTGTGTGTTCTTTAAAAAATATTTTGTATTTATTATTTTTACTTTATGTGATGAGTGTATTGCCTACATGTTTGTATGTGCACCTGTGTCATACAATGCCCTTGGAGGACAGAAGAGGGTGCTGAAACTTCTGGAACTGGAGTTAAGGATGGTTGTTAGCCATCATATGAGTGCTGGGAACCAAACCCAGGTCCCCTGCAAGAGCATTAACTGCTGAACCACCTCTCCCAGTCCCTAAATGAGGTAAATAATTCTTACAACCACTGGCTCTAATGAAGATATGGCTAAACTTTCAGGATCTCTCTTTGATGCAAGAGAATGTGCAAAATGCATCTGACTGGAAACAGTGAAGCCACCTGCCTGTGTTCAATGTCATCTTGAAACACTGGGTGAACTCAGTCCCTCCTGCAATCAGACCTCAGGTTCTGTATCAACAACATGGAGACAGGATCCTGCCATCTCTGATATCCTCCCAGCATTAAAAAAAAGTTCTGGGTCATCTTACAGATCACTGTCCTATGTGATCTATTGATTATTTAATGCTATAATAAATGCTTTCACTATTTTATTTCATAAGCTTCCCTTACACTGTTATACCTCCTTACAAACAAGTAGACACACTATATAAGAAAAAAAAACTGAAAAATTGTCTCAATTGCTTTTCACAGACAGGAAAAAGATCTCTAAATTGTATAGGGTGGGGGGCTCCAGTAAACTTATCAAACAACTCAAATCTTTTTGAAAAAGCTTTACAAACCTTGGCTTGTCCATCATAATCGTCATCTAAAATGTTTAGAGAACTCGAAACGGCGGTACCCCTGGGGAAGCGTGAGGATCTAAGGTATCTCTGGAAACTCAGTAACCTTCTGATGTTTCTTGAGGAGACAGACACTTCAATTTCAGACTGAGCTGAAAGAGAGGGAGTCAAGGTGAAAAGCGCAAGTAAAACCTGCAAAGGCTACATTGTAATAGTCGTACAATTATGCCCAAATACCATTTAGATTCATTCATTACTATGGCACATTTTGTACTTTTATTTCTATTTTTATTTCACTTGTTTTTAAAAAGATTTATTTTAGTCGTGTGTGTGTGTGTGTGTGTGTGTGTGTGCGTGTGCACACCTGCCTGTATGTAGTTGCCTGTGGAGGCTGGATGAGGGCTTTAGATCCCCTCAAGCTAGAGTTTCCAATGGTTGTTATTTGCCTGACATGGGTGCTGGGAGCTGAACTTTCATTCTCTTTAAGAACAACAAGTGCTCTTAATTACCAAGCCATCGCTCCAGCCCTTATTTCTATTTTAAATTGAAGAACTAAGGATGAAAAGGCAAGTGGTCAATTTGTGGGTTTTAGAAAGCTAAGAAAGAACACCTGATTGACAAGCAATTTAAAATTTTTTAATTTCCTGGACTGGAGAGATGGCTCAGTGGTTAAGAGCACTGGCTGCTCTTGCAGAGGACCCAGGTTCGGTTCCCAGTACCCACATGGTAACTAACAACTATCTGTACTCCAGGTTCCAGGAGATCCAATGAACTTGTCTGACCTCCTCGGGCATTGTAGAACAAGGGTGCACTTACATACATGCAGGCAATATACCCATACACATATATTAAAAACAGTAAATAAAATCTTAATTTTTTTTTAATTTATTATGTTTGTGTGTATCAGTGTATTGCCTGCATGTGTGTAAGTGCACTGTGTCTTGCAATGCCTGTGGATGTGGGTGCTGGGAATCAAACCCAGGTCCTCTGCAAGAGCAGCCAGTGCTCTTAACTTCCGAGCCATCTCTCCAGTTCCCAAATATTAAAATTTTAATTTCCATTAACTGTTACTGATCACTCTGTTGCTTCAATATACTATGTAAACCTGGAACATGCACCCCCCCAAAAAAAATCTAGTTTCAAACTACTGAAAAGCCAAATCCCAAGTCACAGAGAATATTTTAACAATTACAGTACAGACATAGCTCAAATCCTAATGAAGTATCATTTCAATTAAAAATTTTAAAATTTTTATTTATTTTTATTTTATGTGTATGAGTGTTATGCTGTGTTAAGTGCACCACATGTGCTCAATGCCCACAGAAGCCAGAAGAGGGCATCAGAGCTCCTGGAATTGGAGTTACAGTGATTAGCTACAATGTGGGTGCCAGACATAAACCTTCTCCAGCCCCCTTTTCATATATTTATTTTCAACTGTTTTATTATTATTTTTATTTATGTGTATTAGTGTCTTGCCTGCACATATGTAAGCGCATCCATGTTGTGCAATGCCTGTGGAGGTCAGAAGAGGGCATCAGAGCCCCTGGAACTGGAGTTATGGACAATTTTTAGCTGGTATGTGGGTGCTGATAATCAAACTCAGGTCCTCTGTAAGACCAGCCAGTGCTCTCCAGGCTGTCATCATATTTTTAAAAAAGATCTATTTCTTCTTATATGCATGTGAGTGTTTTGCCCACATGTATGTGTACTCATGTGTGCCTGGTACCCTTGGAGCCAGAAGAAGGTGTGAGATTCCAGGAACTGGAATTAAGAGACTATAGCGAGCCAATATGTACATGCTGGGAACCAGCTCTGGTCCTCAGGTAGAGCAGCAAATACTCCTAACTGCCCAGCCATCTCTCTAGCCCCTTTCAAACATTTGTAAGGTAATTTTAAGCAGAGGGAAAAAGAAATGGGGTAGAGAATAAAGTTGTTTAAAGACTGTAAAGGTTCTAAAAGGTGAGAGACAGAGAGGAAAAAAAAGCAATTCCATAGAGAAAAATCTTGAAAAAATGTGGTTCTACACTGGAAATTGGTATGTTCTCTTTCAACATGTCTAAGAGACATTTTTTTCTTATAGTATTAGAATAACCCAGTTTCTTTGAACACCAAAGGAAATAACACAACCCCATCTTCCACTCCATTTTTTAAAAAGGTTGCTGTTACTTAGCACATATCCTATTCTTAAGCACCCTCCATATGTTCCTCAGAGTGGTTCTACCCTTGGGTTTTCTGGGTCTGTTTGGATCAGTGTTCAGTTCCTCTATTTTCTTACTCATTTTCAGTTTTTCTTTTTTTCTTAGGACAGTTATTCACGATCACGATCAGACAATGACATTTAGCAATTAACAGCATCTATCTATTTCTAAAGGTGTGACACTAAAGTATCCAGTGACTGAGAAGTTGTCTTTTTTCTCTCTCCAATTTTGTTAATATGCACTTAATACACCTTGCAGATCTGTCAGGTGTTTATATTTGTAACTGTCATATTTTCTTGTTGGACTAAATGTCAATACACTACGTTCTTCCTTGCCTATTATAACCTCATTTATCTTAAAGCTCACTTTTTCTGACAAGAATCAAGCCATCCCAGCTCTCCTGGCTGCTTTTTATGTGATATATATCCTACCCATTCTTTTGCCTTTAATTCTATGATGGCTAGTGTCCTTAGCTTGACACAATCTAGAATTATCTAGAAAACTGACCCCTAGGCATGCCTGTGGGGGATTATTCTGATTATGCTAACTGATGGCAGAAAATCCATCTTAATTGTGGGCAGGGCCATTTCCTGGCCAGAGGATCCTGGACTGTATAAAATGGAGAAAGTGAACTGGGCACTTGCATGCATCCATCTCTCTGTGCATCTTGACTGAGGATGCAATGTGGTTAGCTCCCTCAGCCGCTGTGGCTTCCCTGCCATGATGGACTGAAACTTGGAATTGTGAGCTGTAACAAATCCTTTCTTTTTAAATTACATTTGCTGAGGTATTTTATTACAGCAACAAAGACAAACTTCACTTTAAAATGAGTCTCTCCAAAGTAGCTGGAAGACTGGGATTTTTGAGACAGGTCTTGCTATGTAGCCCAATTTTTCTGTTTCCCTTTTATTAATTTGTTACGTTAGTGAACAAAGTAATGGGTTTCACTGTGGCACTTTCATGTCATTATATATACTTTGTTCTAATTCATCTGCCTTCTCCAATGCCCTCCCCGACATCTGCTGTCACCCCTCTTCCTGGTACCTTTCCAACCATCGCCAAAGTTCCCCCTTCTGCTTTCAAGACACATGCATTCCATTACTGCCCCTTCTCCCCTAGGATCTCTTTGAGACAGGGAGTCTAAACTGAAATGTGAAACCACAATGCATAAATTATCTTGAAATGTAGCTGTCCACTCAAGAACCAACTAACCTAACCCATTGTTCCACTCATGCAAACCACTAGAAGTTCTCACACTCTGTCAGGTTGGCTAGTGACCCCAGCACCTTTGGTCATATAGTGTGTGGCCTGCAGTCAGTTACACAGGCAGGAACTGAAACCCACCAATGACGGAATGGGGCTGGAATGATACTAAACTGCTTATAAATGTTCTGAGTACCTGCGGTTCAGGGCTCAGGCTTTGGAGATTACTACCCTGAGTCAGCGCCAGAATGAATAAAATCATCTGATCGTCACTCTGGTCTCTGTTGCCTGTTCTGACAGTGGTGATTTCTGTACATTTGGTTCCCTTACTTGCCTATTGCTAGAGGTGCAGACATCTCCATGAGGAGAATGGCCAAGCAGGAGAAAGGGTCTCTCTGTCCTGAGCAGTGTCTGTCTGCCCAGGAGGGCTTGGGCTTTGTCTTTGTCTTGCAACATTGACAAAGTGGGAGGTTCACCATGTGAATGTCCTCCACTGAGCCCAGTTGTCCTAGTCTGATAAAAAAAGTTTAGGAAGGAAGCAGGGAGTGGTGTTAATCCCAGTATTCAGGATGCAGAGGCAGGCAGATCTCTGTGACTCTGAGACCAGTCTAGTCTACATAGCACATTCCAGGCCTGCTTGGGGCTACAGGGAGACCTTGTCTCGAAACAGACCCCTTCCCCAGCCCACACACACTTTTTTTTTTCAGGAAGGGATATCAGGAGATTATGGTACTAAGATGGCCCTCCAAGAATTAGAATAGCCATTTTTGATGTTAAATGGCCTCTGGAAGTAACTCTGGATGTGACTAAACTTCAGATAGTAGTGATGACTGGGGAACCAGGCCACCCAGATCAATTCCTACATATAAATTCTTTCTGTAAGTAGCTTTGATTCAGCACCTCCTGGATATGGTTCTATACTAATAGGCAGGGACAGTATAAGATTCTGACAAGAACCTGGTCTCAATCAAGGAACCAAGGCCCCACTGCTATTCCAGGGAGATCTAGATAAACCCCAATGCCACCACTTCCTTATGCTCCTTTGTCCAGGGCAGAGGTTTCACCCCGCCTTTCCCAGAGAGTCGGCCAACATTGGTGTCTTCCTTGAGGCCTATGCTTCTCCACCTAGGGCCTCCACCTAGAGGCCCCCTGTTACTAGAAAGTCTGAAACCATCAGTATCTCCACTAAAGCCTGGGGAACCTGAACAGGTGAGGAGGTACCTCTGTTCAGAGACCAGAGGCCTCCAATATGTGGTACAGTATGGGAATATCCAGGGAGGACAGTTTTCTGTTACCAGTCCTTCTCCACCATGGACTTACTTAATTGGGAGCACCATACTCCCTCATATTCTGAGAAACCTCAGGCTATGATTGACCTGGAGGAGTCCATCTGTCAGACTCACTTTCTACCGGGGGAGACTGCTGTCAGCTCCTCTTTACCCTCCTCAGCAATGAGAAAAAGCGATGGGTAATGACTGAGACCAGAAATGGGTGCTGGCTCATGTCCCTGCAGGGAAATCAAATGCAGAGATATGGGCCAGGAATGCTCTCCCAGACCCTAACTCTGGGACCCTAACTCAGGGTGGTAAGCCAGCCTAGAGAGATACTGGCAGGCTGTCCTACAAAGGCTAAAAGGAGAAGTAAAGAACCTACCAACGTATCTAAAACTACTGTCACCCTCTAGAAGCAGATAAGAGTCCATCTGATTTTATGAAACTATGCAAAGCATTCACCTACATACTCCTTTTGAC